AACTTGAAAGAGAGTTTTGCAGGGTATAGTAGTCTGGGCTGGAATTTGTTTTCATAGAGGACTTGAAGTACTCTGCTCCATGCTCTTCTTGCCTTCATGAGTTGTCAAGAGAAGTCGACCATAATTCTGATGGGTTTTCCTTTGAATGTGATCTGCTTCCTTTCTCTAGCGGCTTTCCGTAGATTATTCTTGTGCTGAATTTCTGTGATCTTTACGATTATACGTCTCGGTGTGTTTTTAATTGGGTTGAGGTTACTTGGCATTCTGTATGCTTCTTTTACCAGAATGTCAGATTGTTTCCTCCTATTTGGGAATTTTTCTGCTATTACTTCTGCCCATACTTTTTTAATGTCATTTGTATTGACTCCTTCTTTCTCATTAATGCCTATTGGTCTCACATTGTTCATCTTTGCATCATCTTGCAGGTGATGGATTATTCTTTCCTGCATCCTTGTTGTTTTTAAGAGATCCTTTCTTACGTTTTCTCTAGCTACACCTGCATATTCAAGATCTGAAACTCTGTCTTCGCTTTCACTTAAACGGTTTTGCTAGTTTGTGATTGAGATTTTAATTTCCTCTGTATCTCTTTGACTCTCCTTCATGTGAACTAGTTCTTTCCTGTATTGCTCATTCAAGGAATCCGTCATTTTTCTAATCTCCTCTATTTTTTTTTGTTAATGTCTTCTTTAGAAACAGTTATAAATTTTTATTGCAGTGTTTTTTTCAGATTGGGTTTCCTCCTTATGTTTCTGTAGTTGTTTCTTTACCTCAGATGCTATAAGTTCTGGGATTTCTTTTTTTTATTTCAGAAAAGAATTGCGCTCTGTGTTCCTCTATAAGTTTCTACTGTTGCTTGTTTACTATCTACATTATTAATTCATACATTTGAGCCGAGTTAGTGTCCTTTGCACTTGTTCTGGGTGGGCATTGGGTTTCCTCCATATGTTTCTGCATTTGATTCTTTAGTGCAGATGTTATTAATTCAGGGATTTCTTTTTTACTTTCCAATCTGAGTTCCTCTATACCTTTCTGGAGCTGTTTTTTTTTTTTTATTTTAGAAACCATTGATTCATTGCTTTCAGCTGTGTGATTCCCAATTTGTTCTGTGTTAGTGTCCTCTGCACTTGTTATGGGTGGGCTAGGGTTCTGAGATTGCAGTTTGTTCCTTCTCATCATTTTGTGTAGCACTGTCTTCTGACTTTTCTTGTAGATCTTTGTTGCAGTTATAACCTTAGCATGTACTGAAGTTCAGGTTCAGATCTACAAACTTTGGATTTATCCAGCTGTGCCTGGCTTGGGTCTGGATGCTGTGCTCAGTTCCTTTCTCCTGCTGCCTTTGGGGATGAACCTGTTGTGCCCCTCTGGCAAGATTTTCTGCTCCTGGACTAGATGGGTGATTCTATGCTCTACACTCTCTGCAGGGATTTCAGCTGCAGAGTTTCACCCCAGGCCTGTGTGCGAGGCCTGAGCTGAGCCTGGAGGAGACATAATGGAGTAGGGTGTAGAGGCAGTTCTCCCACACACTCACTGGGACTGGACTCGGACTGCTTTTGGGGGTTCAGGGTCACAGCAGAAATTCCTACTTGGTGAGTGGGATGTGGGAGGTGATGTGCAGTGGTGGGGGTCTTCCCAAGGGGGGGAAGAGGGTCTCACCCATGCTGCACCTAGGCTCGGACCAGTAGTAGGTCCCAGCGGTGCAGGGTAGTGGAAAGCTCTCCCACACACTCACCGGGTCTGGGCTAGGACTCCAAGATTTCTTTTTCAATTATGTGTGAAGGTGTATTTATTTTTAAAAGTTAAATATAGGAAGAAATGAAAAAAAAAGTAATTCAATATAAATTGAAACCAGATGACAGATTTGGAGTTCTAATAATGTACTGTCAAAGACTAGTTAAAAAATTAAAACACATTAAATTTCTATTTTCTCAATTATTATAGGACATGGGAGCTCGACACACAAAAGCCATCAAACACACGTATGGTTTGGATAACAGAAACACAGTTCTCAACACATGGAGGAAGCTTTTGTGTACTTGTCCTTTTTTCCATTTTCTTTTTGTGATTCTGAGTTTTAAACACAGGTCCTTCATGCTGAACTACAACCCAGCCCTGCTTTCTTTTCTTTTCTTTTTTTCTTTCTTTTTTTTTTTTTTTTCTTTGTATTTTAGGGAAGGGTCTACAAGGTGTTCAGGGTCTCACTGCTAGATCAGACTCATAGTGATCTCCTGTTTACAGCCTCCCAAGAGCTGGGATTATAGGCATGTGACACCATGCCCACTCTCTATCACCATCTCAGCATGCCCCTGGGGTGGGGCTGGCAAGGCAGGCCCGGGGATCGAATCTCCAATCTACTGAGCTATTTGGCTGGCCCTTAGTCTTGCTTTTTTTAAAAAATCAAAAATAAATTTTTAAAGAGAATACAAAAAATACTTTAAAAAGTGCAATGATACAGAATTTAACTAAACACATGTTAGGAATTGAATAGTGGTTGTTATTTTGCATATTGTGGTCTTCAAAGAAGCTGTTAATGCATAAATTTTTTTTCTCTTTTTAAATTTTAATTTTTTTTAATTTTAAGACAGAGTCTCACTAAATTCCCTAAGCTGGGCTTGAACTTGTGAACTCATGCCTCAGCCTCCTGTAGTGCTGGATTACATGTATGTACAACCATGCTTGTCTCCTGTCTATCATTTGTATGTATGTCACTTACTCTTTTGCCTACATTGTAGGCAAGAAACCAGTCTTACATAGTGCCTTTTTCTGATTCTGTAGTAATCAGAAGGATTCTGCTCCCATTTTCTGCTGTTCCTGGATTCAGTGGGTGGTAAACTCACCAGGTACACAGAGTACTAGAACTGTGAAAGCTCTGAGACTCTCACTCATTCATAAACAGACAAGCTAGCCAGCCACAGCTGTGTGGATGCAAGTGGAAAATGGGAGACCTCCAGGTCCGAGGATTTATTTTCCATAGTAGCAGCAGGAACTTGAGTACCAGTATTTTCTGGTGCCCATTTCTGGGGGCCTCATCGCACAAGGTGATGCAGAGAGAACCAGGTTGCCAGGGAGGTCAGCAACCACCCTGCGTTAAGCCAGGGCAAGACAGTGTGTCTTTATTAACAAAGACATTGTCTCTGACTTCCAAAGCTGAATCAAACTTGCCCTTTGCTTCGGGGGGGGGTGCAGTCTCATTCTTCTGGGCTGTTTGCTCTGTCAGCATCTTCCAAATGATAACATGGAAGAAAGGCAGTGGTGCTTCACTTGACAGATACAGAGAAGTGTGAGAGGTCCATGGGGAACAGCCTCAGCTGGGGACACCTTAAGGCTGGGGCTAACGTCATCTGGGGGCTTCTCCATTCTCATATCTGGCAGCTGGATGGACTGGAAGTCTGTGATTAGCTGGGACTGTCACCTGGAACTACATTCTCAGACTTGAGGTTGTTACGTGTGCTGGTTGTAAGAAAGCCACCAATGGCAGCCCATATTCATCAGGAAAGAGGCAGATTTGGCTTTAGCTGTGGGGGTCTGACAGTGTCACACTGGAGCAGAGCATGCAGGGCAAAATATTGGGGTCATTTTTGGAAAGTCTGTCCGTGAGCAGAGAATGAATACAAGTCCATAAGAAGTAAGCTTACTCTGGTGTGCAGGAGGAATGTCCTAATGCAGGCTGCCATGACTACCCTACAGTGTACCAGAAGATAATGTCCTCATGAAACTACTGCTGTGGCCTTGGGGCAGTCACGTGCCTAACTGAGCCTTTGCAGCCTGAAACATACACAGCCCGTCCCTCCTGCTTCACAGGTCATGTCATGTGAGTGGAGTCCAGTGAGCCTTGCTTGGAGCTAAGCAAACAGGCCAGGGGCTCTGTGACCTGCTGGGTGCCTAAAGGTGGAAGTTTGTAGACCGTCTGCACAGAGGACCTGAGCAGAAGGCATACAGCTTCTGCATCAGTAGCATCACTAAAAGCTTTTAATTCATCTGAGTTACAGGGAGCAGCAAAGGGACACCTGATTTTATGCCCTCCAAGGGCTAGATGACAACAGGACTAAGTGGACCATTCCATCACCTCTGGGCATCTCCTAGCTCAGGGCCCCACTCTACCTAGCTAAAGGAGAATGAAGAGTGTGTGTGTGCATGCATGCGTGTGTGTGTGTGTGTGTGTGTGTGTGTGTGTGTGTGTGTGTAACAGAGGGATAAGAATGTAAGGGAGAGGTGAGGAGCAGAAGACAGCACCCTTTGGTATTGCACTGTGACCACATTCAGTTAACCCAAACAACTGGCAGTGCTCTGGCAAGAAGCCCACAATGGTGTCTTCACTGGGTTAAATATAAAGGTCTCACGTATTTTTGAGAAGATGGCTAATACTCCTATTGCCTAAATGTAGGTATTTTTCTATTATCTATTAATGGTACTCCACATCAATTAAAAACTAATGTAGGGTTTATCAGTTGTAACTAAATAAACTGTCAAAATGGACTAATCTGAACTTGATACAACTCATTTATAAAGCATAATGCATCAATAAAATTTTGAAAAAAAAGCATAATGCAGGACATCTCAAAGGAGAAAATGCCTCAGTTGAAACTTAATCCCTTTATTTACTACAGTGCAGAGCATGTTATTTTTAGATATCAGTGGGTTTTGCTTTTGTTGACATTTTCACTTGTTTAACAGAAAGTAAGTCAGAAAAATCACATGGTGACTGGGACTGACACTATTGACAAATCGGAGAGAGTACACAGGACATTCTTTGTTCAGAATGATGTTAAACCAAAATGTTCATAAGCCTCCCCACCCATGGCATATTCTTAGTCAAGCAGCCCTGGAAGGAGCCCTGTGGATACAGTCAAAGGCTTTCACTTTACACATGGACTACCGCAAAGGGTAGAGGGCCTCCCCCTCCTCCCTGGGCTGCTTTCAGATTCAGGGGCACGGAGAGTTTTCATCCATTGTGCAATGCTTCCTCCAAATTCCTTCTCAGGCTCGATCTCACTAGCATGTCATCTGGGCACTCCATCACAGAAGTGACACATCTGTCACACACATTGTATATAATTAGGAGGTTGGGAGAATTCTGCTGAGATGGCAAGAAATCACGGGGCTTTCACATTGTGCCCTAGTGACACACTGCTGTTTCTTGGTGGCAGCCAGTTTTGGAAATAATATCAGACCTTAAGCCAGTGAAGTCTAGCAGCCTGCCCTTGCTTTGCAGGTGCCAGCAGGGCCCAGCCCGTATTCTGCCATTTCTATCAGGCACACATTCCTGTCTTGGGAAAAATGAAATGCCCCCCGACAAGTGTGCCATTCTGCAATGGAACACATTTACCATTCAGTGACAAACAATGACTTCAAGCCAAAATGAATGCAGGTAGCTGAGGGTCCTTAGAAAGCTCCTTAAGAATGAGAAATGCATGTGATGTCACAGCCATCCTCGAGGTCTGTATGCTGCCTATTAGACACTCCTGGTGTGTTTATATAATGTATCCAATGGCTTACAAATTAGGATCCTAAAAACAACACCTGTCTTACAGCAAAAATATACATACAGTACTGCACTGTAGTCCATGTGAATGATGACATGTTTGAGCATGTCTATATCTTTCCATATGTACACATATGTACCCCACGTGCGGAGTCAGGCACCCATACAACAATCTTTCCTTGGCTCTTGCACTTCCGTGCCAAGATTCCAGGTTGCAGTCTCAGTGGCTGGCACAGAGGTTACCGCTGATGACAAAGGACTGGCTTGATACATCGTCCCCTGTGCAGGACCAAGTCAGCTGGACAGTGGCAGCCTGCCACACACGGCTTGTTGCAAGGGCCAATCTCATTCCAAGTGTCACAGGTCTTCACACACCCTGGGCCACAGGTGTCATATACAGCACCATGCTTGCACTGGGTAGCTGCAGAAGAGGAGAGAAAGTGAGACCTGGAGGAATGGCCCCTCAGCTCAGCCTCAGCCTGGGGCCAGACCTTTCTCCCAGTGCTCAGGCCTGCATAGCAACTGGATCTGTGCAGCACCGGGATCTTCACTTTAACAAGAGAATAACCAAGAAGGACCATCCCTCACATGCTTTGGGAATCATATGCATCTATAAAAATAAATCCTAAGATGTATCTATACAATATATGTTACAAAATAACATATAATAAAAATAAAAGTTTTTCACTTCCAGGTAGGACCAACTATAAGTTCATAAAGCTATGAAAAAATATATATCTGGGTATTCAGTTATTGCAAACAGCATAAAACATTAATTCCAAATAGTGCTTGTGGTTATTAAGTGGTATATGCTGAGAAACTTTATAAGTATTCAAATATATGGAATTATACAGACAGGAAAAAATCTACCAAGGATATTAAAATGTGTGACATATTTTAGTCAAACGCAATCATGTGTCAAATAAATCATTTTGAGATAAATTAGAGCAAGAAATACAAAGAGAAATCAGATGTGTGACCACAGCAGAGCCAGCAGCCCGGCTGGGGCTGGCCAGGGAATAGGAAAACAATGATTAGAGGAGCCTGACCAATTTGCTATCGGTGTGAGCATAAGGCTGGCATAACTTTGACAGCAGAGACTCCAAAACTTCACAAACAGACACATTAGAAGACACCAATGAAAACATCCTGGACATCTTGTGACACTCACACTTTTCCCCAGAGCCACTTTCAGGGGCAGTGGAAGGGATTGCCTTGCGTTCTCATCACCAGGAATACTAGGACATGTGGGGATGTTGAGAAGTGATTTTTCAAAACTACCAGGAACAATGCATCTTTCTTGAAGCTGCTCCAAAGTAGCAATAAGAGAAGACCCATGGTCAGCAGCATAAACACCGTGGTTGTCGTTCACGGATTCACAGAATAGTACCTGGTGAAGAATCGTTGCGTGCAACACTAAATCAAGCTGATTTCAAGCAAACAGGCCTTTCCTTGTGTCATTCAGCTAACATGCTGAGAGTTGCCATGCAATGCTGGTATTTGACCATAACTAGCAGACAGCCAGTTATCAAGAACCATGAAGTAAATTCTATTGAGGATTCTTGAATGCCCATCACACTAGTTAAAGCCAACAAAAGCAAAGAGTCATCCCACCCAAAGAGAATGCAATTACTTCTTAGACGTTCTTTCTTACTGTGAGAGAACTGAGCTGTATGAAATAGCATTTTGAGAAACATTTCAATGGAACTGATTTTAAAATATTTGACTCTATAATTAACATTTTTCTGATGGATTCATATGAAATACTGACATATTTATTTATCCCTAGTATAAATGTTAACTAAACTATTAACTACTGCCAGCCATCTGTTCTGAGTGAAGACACAGTACAAATGTGTTTTAAAGAGAGATAAATAGCTCAGTCCTCTGACCAATAGGTAATCACACCCAATGATATAGAAATTGTAAATTAAACCTTATTGAGGTCTGTGTCAGGCTCACTGCATCAACTTCTGGGAGTAAAGGTTTTGATTCCCATCCAAAACAACATTCCCACATTCTCTATCCCTTCCCCATTTTTTCTCCCTTACACAGTTGTTACCCAGTATGGCATCATATTTACTCTGTCTTGTGAGCTTGCAGAAGGCAAAATTCTTGCTGCCTGTCATCATCTCTAGAGCCCTGCCTAAAACAGGCAGTGGTGAATACACTGTATGGACTTGTAACTCAGCACATGAAGCTGGAGGGCACAGTTTCCAAGAGAAACACAAGATGTGTCATAGAAAACAGAGAGACAGAACATGGAAAAAGACTGAAGAGAGGTCTCTAACTGGCCAGCCAGAGATCAGAACCTGGAGGTCATGGGAGGCAAGCGGAAACTTGTCACAGACACAGAGGATGAGCTTCTCAGGTAGAGCATGGCAAAAAAAAAAAAAAAAAAAAAGGAAGCAGTGTGGGCAGCAGCAGGTGTAAGAGCTGAATCCAGTAGCAGGCTGATTGTATGACAGTAATTTTGTAGTACAATTTCAAGTCAAGGATTCCAATGCCTCATTCCTTGCCTTTATTACCTAGGATTATCTTTGCTATTCTAAGTTTTTTGTTTTTTTTTTTTTCTGGTTCCAAATGAATTTCAGGAATGGCTTCTCTAGTTTGGTGAGGTATACTGATGGTATTTTGATTGTGATTGCATTAAGTTTGTAGAACAGTTTTGAAGCTATGGCCATTTTTATTATGTTGGTTCTTCATGATTGAGGGATATTTTTCCATTTTCTGATATCCTCTTTCATCTCATTTTTCAGAGTACTGTAATTTTCAATATGTAGGTCTTTTACTTCCTTTGTTATACTGATTCCTACATATTTCTTTCTTTCTTTTTTTTGGATGTGATTAGAAAGGGTGTGTTTCTCCTAATTTCTTTCTCAGTGAGTTTGTTGTTTGTGTACAGAAATGTTATTGATTTCTGAGTGATGACTTTGTATCTGGTCATGCTACAGAGTTGGATTATTAAATACAGAACTCTTTTAGTGGAGGTTTTTTTTTTCCATAGAGTATCATGTCACTTACGAATAACGTTAATTTAACTGCTTCCTTCCATATCCTTATCCTTTTACTTCTCTCCCTCTCTAATTGTTCTGGCTAATGTTTCCAGAACTACACTGAATAAAAGCATGTAGTCTGTTTTGGAGACTGTGCTGTGTACAACTGAGAAGGATGTGCATTCAGACGTTGCTGTATGGAACACTCCGAAGTGCATTTGTCCAAAGATTTGATTTAGTTCTGAATTTTTTTGTTGCTATTTTTGTCTAGCTGATCTATCTCTTTGTGACAATGGCTATCAAGGTGTCCCATTATAATTGTTATGGCTTATTGGATTTTTCATGTTTATCGATAATTGTCTTATGTAATTATTGTCATACATATTTATGATTGTTTATTATGTTTTCTTCTTGAAGGTTTCCCCTAACAGTTATGTAGTGACCTTCTTTATCTCGTTTGATCATTCCTGTTTGAAGTTCACATTGTCTGCACACAGAACAGTTACCTCTGTTTTTTTCTGGCTTCCTGTTGCATAGAAGCATATTTTCCATCCTTTGACTTTCAGTCTATAAATTTATTTTCATTTAAGTGTGTTCCTTACATATAACATATTATCATCTTGTTTCTTGATTCACGGCCAGTTTGATTCACTTGATTCATGAATTGAGGCCATTTACCTTGATGGTTGTACCTGATATGTATTGATTTGTCTTGTTCATAATATTTTCCTGCTGTTAGTTCTCTGCTTTTCATCTCTTTAATTGCTTGCCTTGCATGGTGATTTATCTCTGTTGCTGTTCTTGGAATTGTGATCATTTTTTTCTCTGTCTAGAGTATCTTTTAGTATTCTTTGGAGGGTGTCTCTGGTGTTCATGAATTTCTCCCGTTGTTCTTTTTTGTAGAAGTGTTTTATTTCTCCATTAATTGCGAAAGATCATTTTGCAGGGTGCATTAGTCTGGGTTGGAATTTTTTTTTTCTTGCAGGACTGGAAACACTTCCCCCTCAGCTCTTCCTGACTTGAGGATTTGTGTTGAAAAGTATGCTGCGATTCTGATGGATTTTCTTTTATAGATGGTCTGTTTGTTTTCTCTACAAGCTTTTAATATTCTACTTTTGTGCCAAGTTTCTGGAATCCTGATTATTATGTATCTAGTTGTAGATTTCCTTTGGTTCTGACTATTTGGATTTCTACATGCCTCATTTATACGAATATCAGATTCTGCTTCTATGTTTAGGAAAATTTCTGCTAGAACTTGTGCTAATAGTCTTTTTTAAAAATTTAATTTAGGGATCGGGGAGATGGCTCAGTAGAATAAGCGCTTCCCTGACAAGCACAAGGACCTGAGTTCAATCCCCACTTCCACAAAAAAAAAAAAAGAAAAAGAAAAAAAGAAAAGAAAAGAAAAAAAAAAAGGATAAACTGGAGATTTGAGGGGCTAGGGAGATAGCTCAGTGGAATTAGTGCTTCCCTGACAGGTGCAAGGGCCTGAGTTCAATCCCCAGTTCCGCAAAAAAAAAAAAAAAAAAAGAAAAAAAAAAGAAAAATTAATTTAATTTAAAAAATAATAATAATGGGCCAGGGAGATAGCTCAGTGGCATAAGTGCCTGCCTGGCAAGTGCAAGGTCCTGAGTTCAATTCCCAGTACCACAAAAGAAAGATACCAAAAGGAAAAAAAAAACATTAAAAATGACACCAAATTTCATTGAACAAAGTAATAGGAATAAAACAATGGTTGCTATTGTATTGCATTATGTTATCTTCAAATTAGTTGCTTATGCTACCAGACATAAGCCTGCAAAATTGGTTTAAAAAGTTATAAGAAATTAAAAGAAGAAACAAATAAAAATAATAAAAAAATAAAAATTTAAGCATTAACTTCTTTCAACAGGCCAGCAGAAATCAGCAGTGTAAGTGTCCAAGCTATCTTGCATATATACACACATATATTCTTCCCTTCTTTCGTGCAAACACTGTTCTCGTCTTCAGTCTTCAAGGTAGAGCTGAAACAAGCTGACTGGGAGGTGCTGTGGAGCCCTGCAAATGTATTGCTCCACATTCCAGCTGTCAGGTTTTCGATGCCACAGTGTGCACATGTGTGCGTAAAGCACTGCTCTCCAGCTGCATTAAGATAAAGTGATGCTTCACCCCGATGGCTCCACTAATTAATTTTGAGAGGTAATTTGAACCTTTCAGAGGTCATATTCCTTTTCCATTAGAAAAACAATGTTGGCTCCAGGGATTCCACTCTAGAAATGAGGATGATGACAGGAAATGTGCAGTCCTGGGATGCAGTACGTGTGCTGAAGTGAAGCTCAGTGTAGCGCTGGGCCAGGAGGAGCGACTCCACAGATCCTGTATCCACCCACAGCAGCACCGCAGTTAATGACAGGAGTCAAATTCTGCTGAGCCTTGCATGGTACTA